TAGATTTTAATTCTTCATCTCACTGAATCATTGTCTGTCTTCTTCTTAGTCGTAATGTTATAATCACTTTATATCTCTGTACATTGTTTTAAGGACCCTTAACCTCTTACAGTCTTACAGGTGTCCATCATATTTACAGGAAACATGTTGAATGAATAAAGGATTACTTGTTATAAAAGGAAAAACTCTATTGATTTTGAGATAATAAAGCTTTATTTGCAATTGCCTCGGTGACTTTTTGTTATGTGTAATATTGGCTGATTTAATTTTAAAAATAGTTTTCTTTTAAGGTTCAGTGATTTATCTTTGTGTTTCTGTTGGGTTTGTATTATTTCCAGTGTTACAATTCTACAAAGACTTTGCAAATAATTTCATTTACATCTAGATATCTAATAATTGTAGCCCAAACGTTGTTTTTTATATCATAAAAACAGGCTGAAAGGTGATTAATATATAATCATAATATAACTTTTGCTTTATTTCCTCAAATTGTAAACATAATGTAAGGTTAAAACTTTTACTTAACCTTTATTGAATATGTTCTATTTTTATTTTCATAATTAACTGGACCTTTATACACACATAGTTTTAACTGTAAAAGAATAATAAGAAAAAAGTACATGTATGCCCATATTGCTCTCTCTCTTTCTGAACACCACACCCAGCTGGTCTGATGGAAGCCTGATGTGTTCTAGGACCAGCTGAGACACACAGTCCCTCAGTTGTGTCCTGGGTCGTCCTCCCAGTGGAGCGTTCTGTAGGTCTTGGCAGCAGGAAGCCAGCAGTATCACGTCATCTCCAGAAAGAAGAGATCAAATCTGCTTGTCCCTAAAACCAGACCCCCTTACAGCCCATGGCTTATCTAGAAACTCTGTCCATGAAGGTCATGAACAGAGCTGGTGACAGAGGGCAGCCCTATCAGGGTCCAATATGCACCGTAAACAGGTCTGACCTATAATACAGACCATACACCTACTTCACTTGTACTGAGACCAAATGGCCCCTGAAGGCACCACACATGGCACCATAAGGGTCACACTGAAAGGCCTTCCCCAGGTCCCTGGTGTCAGCCCTCCTGGAGAAGCTGAGAAGGTCCATCTTCTTTATCTAAACACACCATCAGGTTCCTCTTACAGTGAAAGGGGGCCAGAGATAGATTATGGTTTTGTTTAGTTTTTTAGCAAACACATGAAAAGTTTGGAGTTAAAAAACAATATGAGGACTGAGAGTTGATATCCAAGGAAGAAAAGGTTTTATTTTACTCTGCAGAGGAGAACAACACGACCGGCTGAGTGCAGCTCAGTATTGATTTGAGGCTGCAGCATGCCAACCCCTGCATAAAAAGGGGACTCCCCACACATTAACATTTCCCAAGAGAATCACTTTAGTTGATCAAAGGACAGAGATGACAATTGTTTTCTAATCACACCAGGACGTGAGAATCTTGACATGTTTCCTCCCTTATCTATCCTAGGGGGAAACTTCCTTTCACACTTCCTTCCTTTCCTTTCATCTCAACAAGGCTTCTAAGTAATCAATCATTTCAGGAAAAAATAAAAGACAGACTTTAACCTCACTCACAAATAGGTCAAGGAAAAACACCATTCCACAAAAGCAAATTATAAAGTAGGCATTAGCATGAAGGATCTTGCCTAAGGACCAACATGGATTTGAACTCAGGGGCTCTTGTCCCTTTAGCTAGCCAGCTGATAACAGCCATCTCCAAGTTAGGCTCCTAGGGTGGATTTAAACCCTGCATGCCCCTTGGTGTAGTACAAAAAGGATGCTCATAGTTAAGCATTTGAAAAAAGCCTAGCATCCAGCAGTACTTTATAATAAGGTTTCCTGATAAACTTCACCAACCATAGTTAAGATAGAGGAGCGGCTCATCCATACACCCAGTAAAGGTCTACACAACTGGACAAAATCTCAGCTTAAATCCAACATGAAGCTATGAAATTTAAAGTTTTGCTCTTTTACTTTTAGATACTTACTTAATTTTCTTTCTGGAAATCTCTTTTTACCATCTCCCACTAGGGGGAGCCTTTAATCATCGTTCATCCTCATAACAAGGATACTGTAGGCTGCAGTGGAAACTCAGACCACAAGAAAGCATACAGTAAGTGGAACCAATACTTTAGGATCAGCATAAGAACACCTCTATCAATTACAACTGTTTGTGTGTAAGCCTTATTTTGTAAAAAAAAAAAAAAAAAAAAAAAAAAAAAAGAACAAGAATTTAAAAAACTTTATTAAGCACGCAGTGTAAGGTATAAAAAGCAAACCTAAACCTTAAAATACAGGATAGACTTGAGGCTAATATTTTTTTCCATCTTATTTTAAAAAGGTTTGGGTGTCCATCTCTCTCTCCTGCTCCTCCTCCACCTCCTCCTTCTCTTCTCCTCTGCCTCCTCATCACAAATGGCACTTTTTGTCCTACCCTACTTGCAGCAGATTTTTTTTGCCTGTGACTTAATAAAAGATTTAAGTAAAATAGAGTTGCTTTTATTTGTAATATTATAGTACTTAGTGCATAATGAAAAAAACAGAATTAAAATACAGATACGCACAGGGCAATCTTATTTCCCTGGACTCTGTCCAATTTTCTTAAAATATTCCTTTTTCTTCATGCAATATAGTTTAGCATGCTTTTAAGGATAGAAATTGGTACTTTAAATAGAGTAATTCCATTATTTATGGTGATCCGGATTAATATCTGGCTGCAGGTGCATAAATGGGCTGATGCTTTCGATTGCCCTTCCAGTGCAGATGGAATATTGTCACTGCCAATCCTTCCAGCATGTCCAGAGAGTAAAACACTGCTTATCTAACACTGCTGATAGTGGGAGTGTAGATCTGTTCACCTTGGCTGCCCTTATAGAGGCGCTACAGGAGTATAGAGTCAGTGACTCAGTTCTCAGCTCCACTAATCTGGAACAAACTAGAAAATATAAGGCAACCCAAGTCGCTTTAAATCAAGTTAGAAAACATAATTATTTAGAGTGATATTTGACTACTATCCAAACATTATGTTTTTGTGACCGAGATAATGTTAAAGGAGAGACTTGGAGTAAAGATGCTTCTCCTTCTTACAAGAGGAGTCAGCTTAGGTGGCTCTGGCATCTGTGCCAGATGCCTTTTGGACGCCTCCTTCAGGAGACGTTCCAGACAAACCCCACCTGGAGGAGGCCCACAGGTCCAGCACATGCTGGAGGGAGTCTGCCTCCTGTCTGGAAATGGAATACAGCAGGATTTCCTCAGATGAGCCGAGAGAGGTGTCTAAGGAGAAGAAACTCTGCAAATGTATTCATATTTCCAGCAGTCTGCCACAAAAAGGACATACAGAGAAACAAAGAACTTCGATCCACCATTCAACATGAAACAGTTCCAGTGGAGTTTAACAAGTATGAGTTTTACATACAAACTTATCTCATGTTAATAAATGCTTAGAAAATTTTACTTTTTTATTAAGACTCTAAATACATCGTTTCTACCACTTTGTTCTATTGCAGTGGTCTGAGAAAACAGTTTGGTTTAACTCTAATAACATATGAAGGTAGACTGCAACTTTCCTGCAATCAGAATGTGGATGCCTAATCCAGTAGGTGGCGGTATATCGCTAATTTAAGACTGTTGTATGACCTGTGGATTCCCTTTCTCATAAATAAAGAGTCCAGCAAAATGTCATTATATTTGGCCTCCGGGCAAAATTTCTGTCCCCAGAATATAATTAAAATGAAGTGAATGTAGTTTCAGTGGCTATAATATTAAGTGATGCTTAATGGGAATTGTAACTTAATGAGTAAGCAAGTGAAATAAGGAATACGACATACTATTTTGGTATGTTGTTGTTAGATAAAATCTCAAATAACAACAAGCAAATATCTGATGTTCCTTTCAATTAAATAAAGTTTTCTTGTCATTGTCTCGGCACCATGGGCATTGTTTTACTCCTTCTCCTTTGCTCCTCCCTGGCCTCTCATCAGGTCCACCCGTTTCTCCTGCTATTTATGCCACTGGTGCCCTGCCCATGGTGCCAGATTATTCAAGCTGTTTTCAGTGAGAGTAACTCCAGTGTTCTGATCATATTTCAGATTTCCTGATTGTGACCTGTTTCTGTCAAGTGGATTCTGATTTTTAGTTTTGCCCCTGTCGACTCTGTTTATCTGATCTGTTTCTGGACTGATTCCTGGATTATACTGGCTACCGAACCTGGACTGTTCTTCTTACCTCGGCTTGGAATCCCCATCTCTACCTGATGGGCTCTCTGATCCTCTGGCCAGTGAACTTGGTTCTGCTACGACTACAGCTCTGGATATTCCCTTCTGGACACTGCTACTTCTCGGCGTCGGCTGGCATCAGCTCCGCTCATCTCTCAGTGGAATCTTCCACTTCCTCTGGGAACACTGACTGAACTGTTAACCAGGTCAGTGACCATAGATCTTAGTCGTTATCAGCCCATCATTCTTAGTCATTGACCTGAGTTTTCTATTCCAACAGAAGATCGGGTTTATCCGTTTCAGATGACGAGCAGCCGCACGCCCTTCCTAAATAAAGACCGTTTAAACTGTTTGATCTGTCTGTTTTGAATATTGGATCCAAAGTTTCGAGCTCCTGACAGAATAATTTGGTCCTTCACATTTCTACTTGAATGTCCCGATAAAAGATGAGATCCTAAACAACGTAAACAACTTTTTTATAAAAGCCTCTTATATAAAGAAGTGTCTGCATTTAAATGGTGCAATAAAAGCTTTTATTGGTTTATAAAGTTAGAAAACGAAGCTTATATTATACAACAGCTTTCAGTACAGTAATATATACATTTAAATGTTTCTAGGCACATATTGTCTCATTTCTTCTCAGGGACGGTCATCTCAGAAATAAATGTTTGATGGAAAAATTGTATTTTTGTTATGCATTGAATCTCATTTAACTGGTAATAAACAGAGAAATTTTATTTTAAGTTATTAAAAAGTATATTTACAGAAGAAAGGAAACTGATATACCACTAGGATTAAATTGGTGAAAAAAGTGTCCTTTCACAGTGAGATAGAAAAAAAAAAACTTTCTATAATAGCTGCAATTTTATATTAATATATATACATTCTCATAACAAATTAAAGTGAATAAATTCTATACAGGTCTGGTCAGGTGGACGGCGAATGGACAGCTGATGACATCACTGCCGGTTGTGATGGAGGATCTCTGCTATGGATGAAGCTCTGAAAACACAAACAGTTCAAATATCAAATCTCTGCTAATATCTATGTGATTTTTCATGAGGTGTGTTGTGAATTGTTTATTATAATAATATTTTATAATAAAAATATAGTTTAATACATATGAACTGAACTGATTTTACAGTGAATCAGATGTGATAATGTCTTTTTGGTTTGGTTAAAGACACTCTATTCTCTATGAACTTTAAAAAGATGACAGTTTCACCTGCTTTTGCTAGCCTTGTAATTTGTCTGGCCAGCGGAAGCATATCTCACTGTAAGGTCCTATGTCATGGGGTCTGATGGTTGGTTTCACCTCATCATGGCAGGCATGGATTTACAAGGCAACTGACAGTGTTTCCTTTATTTAATCTCTTTTCTTTTATACTCTGAAAGTCAAACAAAGCTGTTGGCATTTCTATGTCACTAGGTTCCCAGAGATGGAACCAGTGTTGGAACACCACCACCTCCTCGAGAGGGTAGGTCTCCATGATACTGACCCAGTACCCACCGGTACTGTGACCGAGTTCGATGGCCTGCTGGCCCACATTGGAGAATGAATCACCCATAAAACAGAGCGTTAGGTGAGATGGCATTCTGGAGCAGGAGGAAATGAGTGCCAGAACACCTGCAGAAAGAGAACCAGACCCAGGAAGAAGCTGCCAGCTGTGTACCGATCTGGAACTAAGGAACCACAGCAGGAGAATGGAGAGGCCTGCAGGGGAAAGACCACACTAGGGTGGGAAGAAATAGCAGCAGCTTCCCAGTCTAAACTAAGAAAAAGAACAGAGAAGCACAGTGGTAGATAGGGGAAGCTCACTGGGAAAACAGCTCCAGTGTGAAAAAGCTATATAGTGTTGTGGCTAGCTACAGAGGCAAACTGCGATGGCTCATAAGAGCACCACAGCAGATCGGTCAACTCCACTGGGCGACAGAATGCTAAGGACAGGGTAGGAAGGCTGCCCAGAACTATGCCAGTGGTACAATGGAGAAGCCTGTTAGTGAGTCAGAGCTACGAGAGGCGAAGGCTGGCAGGAGTTAGCCTCCAGAGGCCAACTGTGGGAGAGGAAAGGATTGCCACGGAGGACCAGTAAGGCTCCCCCAGCAAACAGCAGTAGAGCTGAGAAGAGAAGGCATCAGCTGACCGGTGTACGCCCTGGAGGTAGGACGAACAAACACTTCTTCGAACTAAATCAAAAGAGCTTTTATATCCCACTTAAAATCCTCTTAAAAGCATTTCAACTTCATCTTGTTAGGAATCCAGTTTGTGTGGGTTGTGTTTTTTTTTGTGTCTGTGTCTTTCTCTTCCTCTGCCCACCAGGTGGTGCCCTGTTCTCATTGGTCCTCTTGCACACCTGCGGCTGGTTGGCTCATCACTGAGGACTACTTAAGCTGTGGACTGTCAGTACCTCGACGCCAGAGTGTTTGCCAGTTTTGGGAAGCCATCCTGCAAGCTGGATGTTTTTGGCCTTCTTCCCGTGGAAGGATTGTTTTAGTCTCACACTGAGCAGGGGATTTACCTCCACAAGTTCCGTTCAAGACCTACTGGATTCCAAGTGACAGTCTGCTCCATAGTGCCTCAGGAACCAACCAAATCAAAACCTGTCCGCCCTCCAACGAGGTCCTCCCTCTGGTTAACCCACACAAGACTGGATTCTGGGAAGAAATTTTTCTCAACTATCAGGTTCACCAGATCCCTTAAGAAAATCATCACACATCTGTGTACATTATTTTCTCTATTTTCCATTTTAATCAAAAAAAACTTTGTCTTGTTGTGCAGCTTCACTGTAACTCAGAGCTACATCTAGTCCTGGGTTGGATTTGGCTACATAAACGTTAACAAAAGTTGTGATTTTTCGTCGGAAAACAAATTTCAGGGAATCCTCTAGAATTGTGCCATTTGCTTCGTTAAATTTGTGACCTGTGTTTTACTCAGCTTCAGTTCACTCCCAGAGCCGCCCTTGTACATAGAGATCACAGGGGAATATTTCGCTCCAGCTCCACATAGTTATTCTGCCCTTGGCCAACAAACTTCACCTGCATTGCCCGATGGTGGTCAAAGAATCTGGTGGCACTAGTGTGTGGCAACCTCAACTTTGTCCATGAGCTTGAGCACAGCTGTGGCTACAAAGAAGTGTACCACTATCACTGTGTGGACAGGTAATGAACGAATTTAATGTAGAGCACTTTCGGGTCTCCTGACTTAAAAAGGTTCTATATAAGTACAGGGAATTAACCATCTATATGTATTATGGTAAACTGAAAAAAGGTGCCAGCATCCCTGAGATACCAGATCCTGTATGTATATTCCCAGCATCTGAAACTGTTGTCCGGCAAACAGGAGGATTACTGTGGACACCATAGTTAAAGCGAGGAGTGGCTGGAGCTCAGGCAGAAGCATGGAGATTACACCTAGAGACTAGGCACAGAGAGCACAAGCAGCGGTGGCAGGTGGCTGAGTTTTTAAAACCCCACAAACCTTTAAGAGTTTCCCACACATCACTGCATGTCAACAAGTTTTTTTGTCTTTCATAATGATTAAAACTGCTTCATCTTGGCTGTACAACTTCACTTTACACTTTCCTCCCATCCCTTTACTCTTGAAGGTGATCCGGGAAGGATAACATGTTAATCACTTGCCCCGGCTGAGTCATTCATATGTGGTGTACATGCCATGATATGAGGTCATCAATCTGAGAAGTTATATAGTGTTCTTAGATAAAACCAGTATGAAGCTAAAGAGGTTTACTGTTAAACACGTTCATCACACACTTTTTATTTAACCTAGGCATGAGGCAAAAATGTTCAGTTCACTAAGTAATGATCTGCCGGATCCCCTTAGATGCCAAAAGGTACTGTTGCAGGTCTACTTTGAGCTCTTTATCCAATGACACTCTATGTCTAAGGAAGAGTTAGGGCATATACTGGTGAGGATTCTCAGTCATCTGGGTCATAATCATTCCAGAAAAGTTAAAACAAATCAACTGGACTTTGTTTCCAAGTTTAAAGACGTTTTGCTTCCCATCCAGAAAGGTTTTTCTATTTATAATATCAGAATTAGAGTTGAGTTCGAAGCTTTATAGAGTGGCTTCTGTAAAAGTAAAAAAAAAAATCCACTGGACTTGGTTTCCAAGATTTGACGACGTTTTGCTACCCCTCCAGGAAGCTTTCTCAATTCAAATGTCTGGATCCGCAGTGAGTTTGAGTCTTTATATAGACAAGGCCTTGTATTGCTTGGAAACATGTAAATGGTAACCGATGAGCGGGTGGTTTGGTTCCATTGTTAGCCTGTAATACCTGCAACCTGTCTATGATTGTTAAGGGTCGGTCATTAAGGAGGTATTGTTCACCGGCTGGAGCGGGGAGGTACTTTGTTCCTCTGTGATGGGGTGGGGGTTGTGGTTTCCATTTGCATGTTTCCAAGCAATACAAGGCTTTGTCTATGTAAAGACTCAAACTCACTGCGGATCCAGACATTTGCATTGAGAAAGCTTCCTGGAGAGGTAGCGAAACGTCTTCAAATTTTGGAATATCAAGTCCAGTGGATTTTTTTTAACTTCCCCCCTTTGGAATCGGGAGTCGTTTGGGTTCTTTGTTAGTCTGTAATACCCGATACTGGTCAATGCCTCTGCGGGGGGGTGGGGGGTCAAAAGTCGGGATTGTTGGGCTGGCTGTCAACAAATTAGGTGCATAGTAGGTTTACAAAAGCTTGTTAACATAAATGGCTTTCTTCACACCCCTTTCAAACCACCTGTCTTCTTTGTCCAAATTCAATGCCCAAATCTAGAATAGGGTTGCTTTGGTTTGATCCTTTCTCCATGATCATAAATGAAGTCTAGAATGTAAAAGGAACAGTATACTTCAACCTCCATTCAACTATCTCTCATTAAATCACAAAATCAGTTGAAGTTCTCTTCCTGAGGCAGAGACCACCTACTCCGTAACTCCATGAGGAGTTTCTTTCTTGTTCCAGTTTAGAAAAATGATTTTACACCATTGTCTCTATGGCAACCCTTTGACCTCCTGCCCAAGAATACCCCAAATAGGATCTATGAGCATTGACCCCACTTGGGAGGGTCTAATCTGGTCCAAAACAGATAGAGAGTAAATATTAGGCTCCCACCAGTCATCCTTAACCAGAGTGAATAAGGCAGGTTAATCTTTATCTTCAGCTTTTAGAGCTCATTTCCTTTACCTTTATGGACTATGGAGTTCTGTTGAATATTCTCCAATTGTCATGATCTGGCCTGTTTGCTCTCCCCTAATTAGTAATTCCTCTCACCTGCCCTCTTCCTTCCCAGCCTCAATTATAATTTATTCCTCTCACCTGTATCCTCTGGTTTATATTCAGTTCAGCCTGAGCATTCAGTGCCAGATCATTGCTTGTCTTTCTGTTAGTCTGTCTGTTTGGTTTTTTTGTCATGGTCCTAGCAGCCAGTGGAAAGAGGGTTTTTGTGTTTGTCTCGTCTTCTGATCGTCCACTGTTCCTCCCCTGCGGAGTCCTCTGGGTTTTTGGCTCATTATGGGGGGGGGTTCAGTTTTTATCTAAGTAAGCCTGGCTCCAGGGTGGAGACCAGTTTAAAGTCTGCTTCAAGTTCCGGTTCCTTTCGTCCTGTCTCGGCTACCCTCTTCCACTGTGCCTGCCTGTCTACACCTGATCCTGTCTGCTCCTGTGCATGACCACCTGGTCATGCTTCTGGTCCCAGTCTGACTCTGAACCCTCCTGGAAGCCTGTGCATGTCTGGAAGTCTGGATCCTGCCACCTGTCTCTGTTCCTGCCTTATCTGGATCCTGCCTGTTCCTGCCTGTTCCTGTCTGTTCTGGATCCCTCACCAGGATCAGCTTCCAGCATCACCTCTGGGACTGCAGCACTGGGGACTCTCGTGGTCTGGACTGTTAAACCAGAGTGTCTGAGATTGGGCGGTGCCCCGCCCCCCCGCCTGCAGTGTCCGCGAGCCACAGCTCCGCTTTTGTTTTGTTTTTATTTTAATAAACCTTTTGAACTTTCCTACTGACTGTCTCTCCTGAATACTGGGTCCATCTGTCCTCGATCCATGACAGAATGATCTGGCCACAACAGGACCCATCGGGGAACAGTCAGTAGGATAAGGTTGGTTTTTCTTTTTGGATTAGTTTTTCGTCCCGGTTCTGACATGCGGGAGCTTCTGTTTCTAGTCTGTGTTTTGGGTCTGTGTCTCCCGATGTCAGAAGCCTGTGTTTTTTTTTGATCTGTGTTCTGTCTTGACCCCACCCGCCCTGCTTGGTTTACTTTTTTCGTGTTATTTGGTTCTGGTTTGGGCGTCTGGAATCTGCCCTTGAGGGGGGGGCTCTGTCATGATCTGGCCTGTTTGCTCTCCCCTAATTAGTAATTCCTCTCACCTGCCCTCTTCCTTCCCTGCCCCAATCATAATTTATTCCTCTCAGCTGTTTCCTGTGGTTTATATTCAGTTCAGCCTGAGCATTCAGTGTCAGATCATTGCTTGTCTTTCTGTCAGTCTTTCTGTTCAGTTTTTATTTGGTTCATGTCCTGGATCCTAGCTGCCAGTGGAAAGAGGGTTTTAGTGTTTGTCTCGTCTCCTGATCGTCCACTGTTCCTCCCCTGCGGAGTCCTCTGGGATTTTGGCTCATTATGGGGGGAGGTTCAGTTTTTATCTAAGTAAGCCTGGCTCCAGGGTGGAGACCAGTTTAAAGTCTGCTTCAAGTTCCGGTTCCTACGTCCTGTCTCGGCTACCCTCTTCCACTGAGCCTGCCTGTCTTCACCTGATCCTGTCTGCTCCTGTGCGTGACCACCTGGTCATGCTTCTGGTCCCAGTCTGACTCTGAACCCTCCTGGGAGCCTGTGGATGCCTGGAAGTCTGGATCCTGCAACCTGTTTCTGTTCCTGTCTGATCTGGATCCTGCCTGTTCCTGTCTGTTCCTGTCTGTTCTGGATCCCTCACCAGGATCAGCTTCCAGCATCACCTCTGGGACTGCAGCACTGCGGACACTCATGGTCTGGACTGTTAAACCAGAGTGTCTGAGATTGGACGGTGCCCCGCCCCCCCGCCTGCAGTGTCCGCGAGCCACAGCTCCGCTTTTGTTTTGTTTTTATTTTTAATAAACCTTTTGAACTTTCCTACTGACTGTCTCTCCTGAATACTGGGTCCATCTGTCCTCGGTTCATGACACCAATATAATGATCAGCTCATGTTTCTGGTGTTTTTTTATGATACCTCATTATGAGCAATAACATGCATTTTTCATGAACTGTAAACTACACATGAGGCCTTTAACCTGGAGCTGTGGAATTTCATGTTTTATCATCCAATATCAGCTGTGAAATTCTACTTAGGTTTGATTTAAGTTATAGAAATACAAAAATTTGTTTTGTCAACAAACTGAATAAAGGTTTTTATATGATGGGAGTAGTTTTACCTACCGTACTTTGGTTTGGTTTGTCGATGTTTCCTTTTCTCACGCATGCATAAAGCACACATGATCCATCCCCTGAAAATGGAAATAAATATGAGTTAGAGTCATGCAGATTGAACGAAGAGGGAATTAGATCTCTAACAACAGATTTTTTTTTTCTCATAATAAGGATGCACAATGTTAAAAATCTCAGGAAGGCGATAACAAATAGAAATATTGTGATGATATACAGTAGTAGCCATTAAAAATGTCCCCACTGTCCTTAATGGACCTTTAGTTAGTCCTTGGCTGGTACCCTGAGATTCCTTTTTTAAACATCAATCTTGGCACTAAAATATTCTCTACATTAAGGTTTTTAGAAGATTGACCTCTCCTGGCCAGACCCTGTAATTCAGTTAAAGGGTGGAAGTAGGCTGACATTTACTGGGAAGGGCCATTTTAAATGGTGGCTACTGTAAGCTGTAATATAAAGCGATTTTCTTGTTTTATCTCTTCCATCAGTGCAAAGATCAGTCTGTGACCTTAAATCTGTTGGGTGGTTTCATTGTTTTGAGACTCCTCTGCCATGAGACCTTTGATTAAATGGTTAAATACTAAATTAGTTTTAAAAATACAAGTTCATACCATGTAAAATATATATTATAATAATTCTTTTTAATAGGTATATTGAGCATCATGATGTTGCCTTGACAACACTTTGGATTAGCATGTCAGGTAAATATTTTCTCTATAAAATGCCTTGAGATGACTTGCGTTGTGAACTGGCACTTTGTAAAATAACTGTATTGGGGGAACAAAAAGGAGTATTTCAGAACTATCTAAACATTAATAGATTAACTGGTTGTTTTTCATCTTCTGCCGTTACCAAACAATAAAGCATTTTAACATGTTAGAAGTTCTCTTGAAACGGATGCAGAGACCACAGTGATGCACTTCTGCCTCAAAACAATGAAGTGAAAGTTCACAGGATAAAAAACCACAGCAACAGTTTGATGCTGTTGTGGTTTTTCATAAATATTACAGGGACTTTTTTTTTTTACTTTTTAAATCTAAGTGTTAAATAAACTGTCAAAACTTTGTTGTTTTAATTCTCTTTGGTCTTTCTTTTCAATGTATCCTTTTTTTTAAACTGGAAAGTATTTTCTTTTCTGAGATGTGATTTTTTTTTTTTATGCATGACGTAAACCTTATGTGTTTGACAGAGAGAAATGAGGACAGATCTTAGATGGAGATAAAGTAGAGCCGCTTTGTCTCACCATCTGTCTGTCCGATGTTTATCTGTTCATCTCTGGTGTCATCCGTTCTCACTGCTGAGTAAATTGAAGCCTGGTCGCTGTCTGGGAGATAAAACCCACACATGACATTAATGCACAAGCAGCAGTTGGTCCAGAATCTGCTGGTCCAGAACCTGCTGGTCCTTACACTACTGCAGGAATTACGAATAACATCATTAAGGTAATCAACTGTCCAACTGTTATAATGAGTAAATATTCATTGTCCACTTGGTTCTGATTGACATCGTGGTTAGTCATTGGTTTCAGCTGCTGCTGCTAAAGAACCATCTGCTGCTGAAACCATGAAAGACAGTCTTAGGTTTGCTTTAGAGGAAATGTGAAAAATAAACCACAAAGCTGCAGACATATTCTGCAAACAGAGTTTCATAAGATCAAGACACAGGAAACCAAAGGTTTTTAGCTCACACGGCATTTATCTCCATTTACTGACACATTGACAACGAACTGAAAACGTTTGCAGTTACTCAATTAAACTGCTAATAATAAAAATCTATGTTTTAGCACACAGGCAGAACATTTCATTAGCAGACGATGGAAGATCTGGATCCCCCCCTGTCCCAAATCATGCAGGAAGAAACTAGTTCTGTCTTGATTTACCTTACGTTTCCTTCTGTGGTAAAACCTGTCACTACATCAAGAGGTGTGAATAAACACCAAACCCACGAAGTTTGCCAAAAAAAAGCTATAAATTTCTTGCTTAGTAATAATAAAAGATCCAATCAAACATGGTGTTTGACTCCATCTTTCAACCCATCCATCCATCCATCCATCATTATGATATTTCTAATGAAACTTTTATTTGTACAGCCCTTCTGAGATTGAACACTTGATGGCCGATGTAGTTAAATTCCCCCATTATTTCATATAATGTTTGCTGCTACATCCTTTTATCACAGCCTTGTGTTGCCATATAAATACGATGCACTTCAACCTAAACCTCTAAAGCGAGGCATCCTGTCCTCTGCTGCCTTGATAGCACTGGGTTAAGGCAACGCTGAGTCAGCGCCTCGAAGCAGGCAGCTAGAACTAATACGGCTTCGGGCTCCACAGAACCTTCTTCAACCTCTGAGGGGGTGAAAAATCCCCCACCTCAAAAGCTTTGAATGTGGCATATCCACCTCTGCTCTCTGTTAATGTTTATGTGTCGCTAAGCTTGTCTCCACTGCTCATCCCCACATTTCCCACCGAGCAAAGATTGGTTGAAAAGACGACATGATTTATGTCCAAACAACGTCTGCATTCGGCTGAAAAGCGAATGGTGAAAAGCCCTAATATTTAGATCGTTTAAAAGACATGGAAACATGGGTTTACATCATTGAATCTATGTCTATTATTGGACTAAAATGGGACTAAATCAGATCAACCAAACATGATCCAATTTTCAACTACTATTTCAGGACTAAATCAAATATGACGGACCAACCAGATTTAACCCACTCCTAAATGACTTCTGGTGTTTGGGGGGGTTAGCCCTGCCATTCAAGCTCTCTAAGCACCATCATTTTTTTTCTTTTTTCTACGTACACTTCAAAGCATAAATCATGATCATCCCAATGCCCTACTTTCACTTAAATTTAACTTAAAAATGCACTGTAGAGGTCGTCCATTCTAAAAAAAACCAGCAACAGTTACCGGTACTCCTTTCGCCTCTGACATGTTTCTTTTGGTTTGACTATGGGCATGGCAGCTCTTGCTTTCAACAGAGATATATCCTTCAACCATGATACTGCAACATGATTGGGTGACCTGTTTTGGATCAGTCTCTAACAGTTTAAGCTGGAGTGGTAATACACTGATTCTCATGTGTTTGTAAAAGCACAAATACCACAAGAATTCAGCATGTGGGTGAAGTTAATGGGCCTCACAAAGATGGAAAACTTTACCTTTCCTGAATCTGGTTGGTTGTAGTTGCGTTTGTACATCACTGTATAGAAGCTCTTCATCTCCACCTTCATTTTCAATAACTAGAAACAGACCAAAGGAAGGTGGTGAATTTATAATCTGAGGAGTAGATTACAGAGAAGACCCAATATGTCTGAAAATGGAGTGTTTTTGTTCTGTCTGGTATTTACCTTCAGGATTCCTCTGGACATGACGTCTCACCAGTAGAAACAGAAGCAAAAGAATTACAAACAAAGGGATACATAGAAGAACAATAAGGAGAGGAAAACGTGAAGAAGTATCCTGAGGAGATAGAGAACTGGACAAAGATGTGGATGGAGGAGGGTGGGAGGTGGTTGGTTTCCCTGAAATGAACCAAAGATAATTATTCAGTTTTTATCTCATAATGAAGGTTGAAGCAGAGAGAGAAGCTGCTGACCTTCAACAGAGATCCAGCTGGATGGAGACTCTCCATGACCCCTGATGTTACACCTGTAGAGGCCTTCATCAGAGCTGGTCACATGGTGGAGGGTCATGTGACCTTTGGGCTCAGTCCCAATGAAGGAGCCATCTTTATAGAAAGCAGCTGGGAGGTTGGAGGGAGTGGTCTTTGTTAGACAGCTCAGAGTGACGTCATCTCCCTCCATCACAGGGAGGACAGGACTCTGCAGGATCACTGATCCACCTCAACACAGAGACAAACTACAGCATTTCATCCATTTCCACACAGCTTCATCAACACTAACTCCACAGTCTGATCTTACCAGTGACAGTGAGCTGGATGCTGCTGCTGGCTGCTCCCTCTCTGGACGAACACCAGTAAACTCCACTGTCTGATGGGATGAGGTAGCTGTTGGTACAGGTAGAACCATTTAGTTTCCCCCATCCATCTCCACACTGAGTCCCGGTTCCATTTGTGTTCCTGCATACAGTCCATCCAGCAGAGCTGTTGTTCTCCTCACAGCTCAGAGACACAGAGTCTCCTTTAAAGAACTGAGATCTGCTGGGACTCACAGTCAGACCAGCTGGGAGGACTGAAATATAAAAAATATAATAAAGCATTGATCATGTTTGTTCCTGCAACCTGATGCTAGCATGTTAATGTTCTTTGCAAATCTTTAACTTGTTTTCCTGTGAGTATTTAGCCTCATTAAAAAGTTAAAGTAGAAATGCCTGACCTGGGTTTATCGTGCAGAACAGCATCAGGCTTAAATCTGCAGAGAAACACAAACTGACTTTAAGAGAAGCGATTCACAATAGTATTTCAGACATTTATAATCCAATTATTGTCTGAGGGGAGCTGTGATAATTTAACACTTCCTTGTATTTTGTCAAAATCATACAGAGGGCAAACCTAATGTCATAGTATGTGTTTTAATGCAGTTTTAGGCAGAAATAAAGAGACGGTTCTTACCAAGCAGACATCTGACTGATGCTTCCTTCATTTCCTCTTCTTAGTGATTGACCTCTTTACATTGATGTTACTGAGACCAAGTGCCGCCCGCCCTCTTCCTCTGAGCCTGTTTTTTTTTCTTCTACTTCCTCCTCTGTTGGCACAGTGGTTGACAGTCAAAACTATCATATGTCATATGAAAATGTGTTTCTTTTTCTTAGAAACACCAGAGCCCTGTTTGAGCCATAAAGCCTGCATGTTTTAAAAGACCACTGATGCAAACTGACACTTATGATAAAAAAACAGATTCAACAACTGGTTTAGCATTAGATATCATTTATTGGAGTTTGTATCAGTGTACGACTACAAAGGACATGAATCACACATTAATACTGATGCAGTAAAGGCTTACACATATCTAGGAAAGGACATAGGTTAAAAGTATTATTTTGCTTAATCAGTTGGCTGACATCTAGTGGTCATAACCTAGACTTCAATTTAAATTTCTCCTTTAATTTTACAAATGCTTTTGTTTGTGTGCTTTGTTTGACAGTTACTTTTTAGCTAGTTTGGATTTCTTCGATGTGCTCTGCTCCATATCCAGTTGTGTATTCTTGGGCTTTTTTCCATTTGATTTAATGTTTCAATCAAGGATACATCCACTAAACAGCCAAAGTAGGGGGTAACCACTTGCCAATCGCTCAGCTATGTGGATCAGCTGTAACACCAGGAGAGTGATACAGCAAGTAATAATAGAAAATTTATAGTTGGGCTTTAGATGAGGGTAGTGGTGATGTGAGAATCCGTACTAAAATATGGATACCTCAGATACAAGAACTAAAGGCTCTTAAATGATTTTGTCAGGGTGCTTCGATGACGTGGCTGATGTGATCAGAACAGCATACCGCGTCGGACCAGTATACACATAGTTATATGCATAAATGTCGTCAGTGGAGGCGTCAGGCTGATCCGCCGGAGAGGGAGTGGTCTTCTTGCCTCGGCGGTGGTTCCTACGCCTGGAGGAGGCAGATGGCAGGGGGGAACCAACAGCAGCAGAAGGTGGAGGTGCGGGTTCGGAGGTTTGTGTTAATATTAAGAGAGGTGGTCTGGGTGGTGAAGGTTTATTGGATAGTTTTGCAAAGGTGTCCTGAATGTTCCAATTAATTTGATCAATGTATCCGGTTTGTTGAAGAAAGATCTGGTGTCCTGGATATTTTTTTGAGTTCGGTGAGAAGTGAACTTGCTGCTGAAATCCGCTCCCAGGGTGGAGTGATGGTGGAGAGGTCTTCTATGGACTGTCTGAGGAGTTTAAGAAATCGATTGAATGGTTCTGCTGGGTCCATGTTGGCTGGATCGTTCTGTCATGAAATGGTGGTGTTGGTTTGAGGACCCAAATGCAGAGACGAGTGACTGAGATAAATTTAAGTAGTTTAATTAAGGTTCTCAGGCACATAGGCTGAAGGTTCACAGGCGCAGAGGCAGGAGTCAAAAATCCAACAAAAATATCTCTTGAACCAGAATCTAGGAGACATCAGGGAAAAACCAAAACCAGGAAGAGAAGTAAGACGGACAGAAGATTGATCAGAGGTTGAAGGGAAGTTAGACGACGATCCAGCAAACAGGAACCGAAGAGGAAGGGCTTTTAAAGGGGACAGAGACAGGGAGAGGCTAATGAGGGAAATTGAAAACAGGTGAGAGCAAAACAGAAAACAGATCAAGAGAAAGAGGACACAAGAGGGCAGCAGAGGATAACAAATGAAAAGCTGGAAGACAGGAACTAATAAGAAAACAAAATAATAACCAAATAACTAGGATAATGAAACATGGTGAACAGGAAACTAAATACTAGAAATCAAGGAGCAAAAGAAAAACATAACAGAAACAGAAATCTAACAGCTGAGGGCTACTTCATGGCTATCGAATCATAGGAAGGGCTACCAATACTGACGATGAACAAGAGGGGTCAGCGTTCACCTAAACTTAATCCAAATTAAACACATTTTTATTGTTAACTTTTAATTTCTTATTTTCCTTTACACATTATAATTTTAAAATCTCTATAAATGCTAAAATGCCCTATATGATTACTATGATGAAATGCTCTATAAATGATTAAAAAGAAGAGTCACAGAATAAAATAAAATTTCAAACTTAGCCCACTGCTGAGTTGCTGTTTTCAGAAGGCGTTGAGGGCACCCCATGTGGTCCTTGAGGGCCCCGCGTTGGTGACCCCTGTTATAGCACATGCATTTTGACTATGGGTATGCTGGGTTTACTCTGGGCGTTTCTTGTCAGTCCAAGGCTTTCCTCTCATTGTCAAAATGCTCAGAACGTAAAGCAGTTTGCTTCTTTTAACTCTTTGGCAGTTGCAATTTACATAGTGATAGCAGTGGAACTACAATGAATGACAAAAACCTAAGCTCAGTGGATGCATAGACATTAGAGGTAAGCAAGTGCAGCGAGGGCACACGCTTTGGCATTAGCGGAACACATCTCACAGACGACACGAAGAACATCAAAAAGATCAGATAATGTCCTTTATAATTCAAAGCTCAAAGGCTGTCCTCTATCTATAATTTAAGTCAACATGTATGTATGAATATTTGCAAATTGTAATGATTTGTAACGGACATGATTGTAGAGCGTGTTAGACAGTTAACATTTATGGACGTTGGAGATCGGCCGGTTTCCGGTGTAGGCCTGTTTCTCTGACTGTAATGTGCTCTCTTTGTCCTCTGGCATGGGAGCTGTTTCGGAGCTCGTCTGCCTGGCTGTGTGTTTCCTGGACGGGGCCGCCTTTTACAGCTGCTTTTTGTGTCTCTGCTTCCGTCTCCTTGAACCCCAGTCGGCCTCAGCAGATGGCCGCTCACACTGAGCCTGGTTCTGCTGGAGGTTTCTTCCTGTTAAAAGGGAGTTTTTCCTCTCCACTGTCGCTAAAAGCATGCTTAGTGTGAGGGATTGCTGAAGAGTCAATGAGCTGATGCAATCAACTTGTTTTCCATAGATAAAAAACTTGGAATCAATTTGACTGAATGATCTGGTGATAAAGTGCCTTGAAATCACATGTGTTGTTAAATGGGGGTAACCACTTACCAATCACTCAGCTGTGTGGATCAGCTGTAACACCAGCAGAGTGATACAGTAAGTAAAAATAGAAAGTTAATAGTTGGGCTGTTTTTACATTTATTAAAAGCACTCTCCTCTCTGTAATTCAATTTGTAGATCACTAAAATAAGATTCTTCCTGTTAAAAATCCCATTCCTAATCAGAACCAGAGGTGGGTAGTTGTAATTATTCAGTTACATAAAAAAAAAAAAACATACTTGTAGAATCCTTTAACTACTGAGTTTTGTCATTTTTATAACTCAAAAAATATTAGATCAGTTGATATGATCATGGATCTTAAGCTGACCAGTTAGCTTTTTTACTCTAATTTGAGTAACTTCTTTAAAGAGTATTTTACTTTTAACTGATTACAATCAGGATGAAGTAGTGCTACTCTTACTGAACTACCATTTTTGGGTACTCAACCTACCTCTTGTGAGAACTGTAATAATAGAGGTTCTAATTTACATCTTTTCCACAGAAACTGAATTTCAGAAGGTAAAAAAAATTAGTTGTACTAGTAAGAAATAAGTTTTATATATCTAGAAATGTTTACATACTTTAAGTGGATGTTTTGACATTTATCAGCTTGATTTATTATTCATTTATGATATCTGAAATAAATGTATTCATAGCCAAAATAATACAAATGATGACCAGTAACATTAGGAATAGGGAGATCTGACATCTATTTCTAGACATCCAGAATGTTTATTCCAGATGTGAAGAATGTAATTCTGTTTGAAATTGTCATTTTGACAAGGAAAATAGTTTTTTTTTTTTTTTCGCAGATATCAGGAATACATATTCAGTACTAGTACATATCAAAACATTGTTCTAATAGATGAAATAGATTGATGTTACCATGCCAATAAATGGTCATTATTAGCGACTATCAGTCCCATAGAATGGCTTCAACATGTGTCAGTAGACTCCGAAGATTGTTATCACCAAGTAAATCCTAATCCTAAAGTAATTCCTTTCTCTCTGTGGAATTAATGAATTCATCTATGTGTAATCTGAAAACAATTTCAGAAGTTCTTCATCTAATGTAAAAAAAAAAAAATATATATATATATATATATATATATATATATATATATATCTGCATCTCACTCATATCAAACAAACTAAACACAAGTAATCGCATGCCCTGTCAATGAGTTGTAGAATCGTCTCCCTACAAATACTTAATTCTCTATGAAAAGGGGTTGATAATTCTTTAATAAGATCCTGGTCTAATGGACATGCAATGTTTATTTTTAAAACTATTGTGTCTAACAGACCTAGTGAATGATTTTTTTTTTTTAATGCAAAAAATTACAACAAAAATCTGACTAAATCAAGAAATAAAACAACGTGATTGGCTGTAAGGAGAGCAGACAGAGGACACTGAGTTTACTGAAGAAAACATGCTGCTGACCAGGTTAGCTCTGAGGAGAATGTTACTATGGCAACAGAAACAAAGGTTGAGTAATCTCTACTGGTGAAACAATAGTCAGAAGCTGGCTGCGAATTTAGACGCAGCTGGGGGTT